CAGCCACAAGACCATCCACGAGCTGGAGAAGGTCCGGAAGCAGCTGGACGCCGAGAAGCTGGACCTTCAAGCAGCGCTGGAGGAGGCCGAGGTGCCGTGTCCCCCACGTCCCGCCGTGTCCTCTTGATGCTTTTCGTGCTCCTCACATCTGTCCTCTGCAGGCGTCGCTGGAGCACGAGGAGGGGAAGATCCTGCGGGCCCAGCTGGAGTTCAACCAGGTCAAGGCGGACTACGAGCGCAAGCTGGCCGAGAAGGACGAGGAGATGGAGCAGGCCAAGAGGAACCACCTGCGGGTGGTGGACTCGCTGCAGACCTCCCTGGACGCCGAGACGCGGAGCCGCAACGAGGCGCTGCGGCTCAAGAAGAAGATGGAGGGCGACCTCAACGAGATGGAGATCCAGCTCAGCCACGCCAACCGCCTCGCTGCCGAGGCCCAGTCCCACCTCAAGGCGGCCCAGACTCACCTGAAGGTTGGGGGCGGGGAAGGGGGCAGGTGTGAACCCTCCTGCTGTGGGCTTCCACCAGCTGAGGACGGGCCTGCTTGTCCCACCAGGACACCCAGCTGCAGCTGGATGACGTGGTGCGGGCCAACGAGGACCTGAAGGAGAACATCGCCATCGTGGAGCGCAGGAACAACCTGCTGCAGTCGGAGCTGGAGGAGCTGCGGGCCGGGGTGGAGCAGACGGAGCGGGCCCGGAAGCCGGCCGAGCAGGAGCTGATCGAGGCCAGCGAGCGGGTCCAGCTCCTCCACTCGCAGGTGGGATGTGAAGGCCTCCTAGGAGGGTCATCACCCCCAGCCAGGGATGCTAGAACCCTGCCGAGGGCAGAGCATAGGCTACTTGCATGTTGAGCTACCTAGAACCTCACCCCCATCCAGGGACACTTGGACCTGGTGGAGAGCGCGGGCTCCGTCCAAGTCCCTTCCCTCGGTGCTACAGGGCTGGATAAAGATGGGGCAGGAGTCCTGTGGCCGTGTCCTGAGATCTTCTCTCCCCGCTCTAGAACACCAGCCTCATCAACCAGAAGAAGAAGATGGAGGTTGACATCTCCCAGCTGCAGACGGAGGTGGAAGAGGCCATCCAGGAGTGCCGGAACGCCGAGGAGAAGGCCAAGAAAGCCATCACGGACGTGAGTGCCGCCCCAGGCCCGCCCGAGGGGATCTGGGTCATTGAGTCATCTAGAACAGCTCTCTAGAGGATCTTTCTAGAGTCACCTAGAACATCTCTCTCCACGGGCAGGCGGCCATGATGGCGGAGGAGCTGAAGAAGGAGCAGGACACGAGCGCCCACCTGGAGCGCATGAAGAAGAACATGGAGCAGACCATCAAGGACCTGCAGCTGCGGCTGGACGAGGCCGAGCAGCTGGCCCTCAAGGGCGGCAAGAAGCAGCTGCAGAAGCTGGAGGCCCGCGTGCGGGAGCTGGAGAACGAGCTGGAGGCCGAGCAGAAGCGCAACGCCGAGAGCGTCAAGGGCCTCCGCAAGTCGGAGCGGCGCGTCAAGGAGCTCAGCTACCAGGTGAGCCTCCGCGGCACGGGAGGACCTGGACCGTGGCCTCTGGCTGCCCTGATGGCCACAGCGCTGCAGTATGACCTAGAACGTGACTGAAGTGGTGTCGGTAGGGACATATGTGACCTAGAACGTCACCCACTGCCGTAGTGTGACCTAGAACATGATTGAGCTGGTGGCCATAGGACCATGCATGACCTAGATCGTCACCTGCTGCCACGGCGTGTCCTAGAACGTGATTGAGCTGGTGGCCGTAGGGCCATGCGTGACCTGGATCATCAGCTACTGCCATAGCATGACCTAGAACACGATTGGCCAGAGGGACGTGAGCGTGGCTCATAGCGTCACCCGAAACGCCGCCTTCCAGGCGATAAGGGCCAAGACTCCCATCATCCCCTGGGTCATTGTGTGACCCGGGGCGTCCCCACCTCGTCTCCTCCATGGCAGGGTGGAGCTGCTCCAACCCCCAGCCACTGGGTTCCTGGCCGCCCCAGATCCTCCCGCTTTGCCCCCACCACCTGCCCCTGTGTAGGCTTCCATACTAGCTGCCCGGGCAGGGAAACTGAGGCACGGTGAGGGTCCAGAGTTGAGGAGGGGACTTGTTTCTGGGGTGCTCCCACCCAACCCTGCACCCAGGGCTGGTCCCATGAGCCCAGCGGCATGTCCCCAGCCCCATCTATCCCCTCCCCACAGACGGAGGAAGACAAGAAGAACTTGCTGCGGCTCCAGGACCTGGTGGACAAGCTGCAGATGAAAGTCAAGGCCTACAAGCGGCAGGCGGAGGAGGCGGTGGGTGCCCGACCCTCACCCAGGAGTGGGGATGGAAAGCTGGGGTGGGAGACGGATGGACAGTTGGGTCATAAAGGGGTGGTTGGATGGATGGATGGATGACTGGCTGGACGGAAGGGCAGATGGGTGAATGGATGATGGGGTGGATGGATAGATGGATGGATGGTGAAATAAGAAGGATGGGGAGATGGATGGATGGATGTCGGGATGGATGGAAGAATAAGAGCAGATGGATGGATGAATGGATGAAGAGATGAATGGATGGATGATGGGATGGAAGACTAAGAAGGACAGAGAGATGGATGGATGGATGATGGGATGGATGGATGATGGGATGGATGGATGGGATGATGGGGTGGACAGATGGATGACTGGATGATGGGATGGATGGATGGATGATTGGATGGATGGATGGGATGGATGGATGGATGATTGGATGGATGATGGGATGGATGGATGGATGGATGATGGGATGGATGATGGGATGGATGGATGGATGAGATGGATGGATGGATGGATGGATGATGGGGTGGAC